GAAAGAGAAATCAAGCTGCCAGGTCAGCCACGTGGGAGTCCAGCACCCCAACCACCATGCTACCTGCTAGTCCCTGGAAAGGGATTTAAAAGATGCTTAGCTAGGCCTCAGACAGAGAGGGAAGGGAGAGAAAGAAAAATCCCAGGGCATGTTGAAAGAATGGTGTAAGGTAAAGAATGGTGTAAGGTCTGAAAGTGCTTAGGGTCAGTGGGCAAAACAGGGCCCTGAGGGGCCCTTTATGCTCCGTGTCTCTGGGCTAGGGCAGCAGTGACAGTGAGAGGGACAGCTGGGACAGGAGACCCCAGTTCCCACTGTCAGGACCATGCAGCAGGCACAGAGGCAAGGAGACAGGTCCTTTGGCATGACAGACAAGCCCAGTTCCGCTCTTAGCAAATGCAAAGTAACTTGAGCTTTGACTTTGCTTTTGAAAGGCCATGTTTTCTTAACTCATTCACACTGGAAAGTGGCCAAAAGGAGAGATGAAGGACTAGACAAAGTATGAAAGCGTCCTAACCCACATTCTGCAAAATTACTAAGTGCCCCTGTACTACATACTAAGCATCAGACATGCATCATTTCGCTTAATCTTCAGAACAAGCCTTTGAGGTAAATCTTCCCATTTTACAGAGAGGCTCATTGACCCATGATCACATGACTAGCAGTGGAAGAGGCTAAGCCCTGGCTGTCTTGCTCCCACACTCTACCAGACTATGCTACAGAATAGGGAAGAAGGGGCTTGGCTGATGAGAACAATAGGCCAGGCATGGCTACCCGTATCTGCTCATATTTCTGATAGATCTAGGAGAGATCTCGTGGTTTATTTAGTCCTTGTCTTACAGAGGAGGAAGCGAAGTTCATGGAAATCCTTTGGTCTGGTCTCTGCTCCATGCTGTTTGCTGGGTGCACTGTCCAGAAGGCTACTTTGGTTGCTATTTTCATAGGACTCCTTAAGCCCCTAGCACTGCAAAATCATGATGTACTCATGGGTAACATCTGATGGATGTGGCTCTTGGTGTCACACAACATTAAGATCCTTCAAAATCCAGGGGAGCACCAGCCAGTGGCATGGTGGTTAAGGTGACTGGGTCCCAACACGGCTGACAGCATAGTTTGAGTCCCAGCCCCACTGGCTTGAAAAACACACCAGGCACATGGACTTGCATGCCCAAAATCCCAAAGAGAAATGGAGAAAAGATTGCAGCATGACTATTCTCCATGGTGGATGCTTTCTCACTTTCTCTCTCTCTCTCTCTCACAAGGGCACACACCCTCTAGTAAATTAAAAAAAAAAATAAAATGAAAAGAATTCAAGTGAAGTATCCAATGTTCTCCAAGCTGTGTATTACTCCTGGAGCCAGTTTTTATTATTGAAGCCTTTTAGTATAGGTTGTCAGTACTCCAAAGTGAACTAAACAGAAAGTTCTGACTGTAAATCAGAATTAGGGTTTAGGGGCTGATGGTGGCACAGTGGTAAGACGTGATGTTCTGTAAGGCTGACCCACATGGGAAAGTTCTGAGTTCCTGTCTACAGATTTAATTAAAAAAAAAAATAAAATGAAAAGAATTCAAGTGAAGTATCCAATGTTCTCCAAGCTGTGTATTACTCCTGGAGCCAGTTTTTATTATTGAAGCCTTTTAGTATAGGTTGTCAGTACTCCAAAGTGAACTAAACAGAAAGTTCTGACTGTAAATCAGAATTAGGGTTTAGGGGCTGATGGTGGCACAGTGGTAAGACGTGATGTTCTGTAAGGCTGACCCACATGGGAAAGTTCTGAGTTCCTGTCTACAGATTTTCTTGAGTAATGGGCATACGTGTACCCATGACCTGGGGCTTGCTGAAGCAGGGGAGGATGGAGGCATCGAGGCTGTGTTGGGGTGCTATCTATCTCCTCTCCCCATCTGACTCTCTAGCTCCTGGGAGAAATAAATTTTAAAAAATCTTAAAGTTTATCCTTCTATTTGTCATTCATTCATTCTTTCATTCAACAAACATTATGGGAGACTCACTCAATAATCACTCCTTCAATTTGGACCACAGAGATTGAGACATTTTTCTAGTCAGACAAGGGAGGGGTCTCCTTACCACCTGATGAGCTCATCTGGCCAGACCAGCGCTCGGAGTCCGTAAGCTGACTTTGTAGTTCTTCTACACGCTGGAAAGCGTTCAGCTTCACACTGCGCTCCTGGGCAAGCCGGCTTCTCATCTGAGGAGGAAAGTGCTTGGGAAGCAGAGATGCTTTGTAATGCTCACTTGTAGCGGCCTCAGTTTACAGAGCCATGCTGAGGGAGATGGTGGCCCCAGTCTACACCACAAAGAGAACCAGGTAGTCTTGAAGTCCTGGTTAGGCTGAACTCAGCCTCTGGGAAGACCATGAACTTGACGAAGGAGGAAAAGAGGCAGCCCTTGGAATCCCTTATTGTCTTCTAATAATTAGATGCTTATTCACAAAGTTATCTCTTCTATGTTTATTTCCCTCGCTGGGTAGAAGAAGAGGGGAATGAGGGTCCAGGTCACACAGGACTTTGGAGGCCAAACCACACATCTACATGAAGGACCTATAGGAGCTCCTGGGCGGTTTCAAGGAGCAGGAAGACTTGGTCTGTCCTTCAGGTCTCTCCTCTCAACTCAGCACCTGCTGGGAATGCCCTAAGCACTATCTCCCTAATAAAGGGCTAATAAGGCCCACTCTAAGTCAAGTTTTGTATTTGTGTAGCTTAGAGCTGTGTGGCCCACCCATAGACCCCTGACCTAAGCGTCTCTGGGTCCCAAGTGCACCTCATCTGCATAGACCACAGGTATTTTTATTTTTAAATTTATCATCTTCTAACTATAAAAAATAATACACACTATAGTGTATCAAATAGTGTCCCCCCCCACAATTCATGGAACTTCAGAATGTGACCTTATTTGGAAATAGGAGCTTTGTAGATGTCCTTATGCTAAGGCGAGGCCATACTGGACTTAGGGTGGGCCCTAAGTCCAATCGACTATTGTCCTTATAAGAAGAGTATAGAGGGGCCAGCAGTTGGCATAATGGCTATGTTGGTGGACTCCCATGCAGTTGACTGTGATTTGAGTCCTGGACCCTGTGGCTTAAACTCACACCGGGCACGTGTGCATGTGTGCCCAAGATCCCTAGAGGAGAATGGAGGAGAAGGGATTGCGGCTGCCACACCACAGTTTAAGTTCAGGACTCGAACCGTGGTCGACTACATGAGGATCCAGTGACATAGCCATTACACCAACTGCTGGTCCCAAGCCCCAAGTGTTTTAAATCCTATTCCTACCTGTGTAACTCTGACCAGAAGGCCCCTGCACACTTGGAACTGTTCCCTTACCATCTCTCTCTCTCTTTTTCTCTGTGGTGAGCAAACACAAAATTTTAAAAAGAATTAAAAAAAAAATGCTAACATGTCCCTTGTGTGCATGGATACGCTCAAGTGTTAAGAGAAGCCCCTTGCACACTCAGAGCTGTGACCACAGGCTTGTCTCAAATGCTAACATGTCCCTTGTGTGTATGGATGCTCTCAAGTATCGCTTAAGCTCCAGGGGATTGTCAGAGTAACTGAGCTAGGAAACATTTTCTAATATAAATGAGCTCCAGAATCCTAATGTACTACAAGGTTCTGTGTAGACTCCTCATTCCCTCTGGGCGGAAGCCAGGCCAGGATTTATTTAATCCTAAATAAATTCGAGAACCACTAGGAAAGGAAAGATGCCTATCGGGGGCCCACCTTGTGTTGGTGTACACACCTGCTCGCCCTCTTCAGATTTCCCAAGATGAAACGAGCCAAGGTTAGAGTCCAGGTCCACCTACCTGTTTCCAATGCTCGCCTACCTTTATGTTCCCCCAGAAATATGAACAGCCAACAACTGAGCTGTGAATCAGGCCCTGTCCTAAGTGCTCTATTCGAACGACCTAATTTAGTTGTCCCTCAATCCAGCGGAGTGAGTAGGTGTCCCCACTGTACTGATGAGGAGACTAAAGTGCAGAGCAGTGGTCACGGGCATCACCTGCAGTCACACAGCTGGAGAGCTGGGGAATGAACGAGGCAGTCTATCTCCAGGGCCGATGTTCTCAGTGACCTCACCGGGTGCACAAGGTAGACAAGGTCAATAGTGCTCTCTGAGGTCAAGCAGGTCACGTTTGCCTTTGGAGTGAAAAGCTGGAGATGGACTGAAGGAGCCGCAGCTGGCTGTAGGAGCTGGGGCTGCTTGGAGTGGGCGAGCCCAGGAGTACGTGGGCTATGCGAGAGCCGAGGAGCAGTGTACAAGGGGCCAGTGGTTTTCACACCCTAAGGTGAAAATGTGCATTTACGAGAGGAACCTCAAAATATTTGCTTTGAGGGAACCAGGAGTTAGCGTAATGGCTATGTCGCTGGACTCCCACGTAGTCGACCGCGGTTCGCGTCCCGGACCCGGTGGCTTAAAACTCACGCCGGGCGCGTGTGCGTGCGTGCCCAAGATCCCGAGAGGAGAATGGAGGAGAAGGGATTGCGGTGTGACCATCCCCCCTGGGGGGTGATTTCTCGCTTTCTATCTCTCTGTCTCTCTCTGTCTGTCTGGCGAGCACACGCGCCCTATAGTGAAAAACCTCTCAAAAAAAAAAAAATTTGTTTTGATTGCCTCTAGAATCTCTGCCATTTAACAAATAATTACCTGGAAAGAACATTGACAAACTAATCTCTGACACTCCCTTCCTTTGTAGTGGCTTTTTTTTTTTTTTTGCAGAGGTTTTTGCTATAGGGCACGTGCGCTCGTCAAAAAGACAGAGAGAGACAGAGAGACAGAGAGTGAGAAATCACCCCCCAGGGGGGATGGTCACACCGCAATCCCTTCTCCTCCATTCTCCTCTCGGGATCTTGGGCACGCACGCACACGCGCCCGGCGTGAGTTTTAAGCCACCGGGTCCGGGACGCGAACCGCGGTCGACTACGTGGGAGTCCAGCGACATAGCCATTATGCCAACTATTGGTTCCTGTAGTGTTTTTTTAAAAAGTATAATTTATAGGATGAATGTGAGATGCCAAATTTTTCTATGGGTTCATAAGAATTTGAGGGGCCAGCAGGTGGTGTGGTGGTTAGGGCACTGGATTCCCACGTGGATGACTGTGATTCAAGTCCTGGACATGGCGACTTGAAAATAACACTAGGTAATTTTCAGTCACATATTTTAATATTTTTCTGCCATTTATTTAAAATTTTTATTTATTTTTTAATTGCCAGAGGGCATGCGTGCTCACCAGAGAGAGAGAGAAAGAGAAAGCACACCCAAATGAGGTATGGTCAAGCTGCAATCCTTTCTCCATCTGGCCTGGCATGCTGCTGGGGCCAGGATTCAAACCAAGGTTGGCTATGTAGGACCCAAATCTCTCTACATAGCACTCAACCATTGTACTAGGGGCCTGGCCCTCTATCATTTATTTTGATAGAATTCTCCTTACTGATTTCCAGTGTGAGCACTTGAAATCCACTTGAGCAACAATTTAACTTTCCAATGTCTGCTTTCTTTCTTCAATTTCTATGAATGAAGTGATTTACTCATCCAATGAATATGTGTGATCCCATGCTCTGTAAGGTACTGTTTCTTTCTACTTTTAAAAATTCAACTATATTTTAAAAATTGAATAATATTTTATGGTCTGCTTTGTTGAAACTTGCATTAATCCACATCTACATTATAGTATTCCTTTTTTTCTTAACATTGTAGGGTATATTTATCAAAAATTTATCATATCTGCAAACTACTTCGATCTTTTACTTTTGTCTCTGCAGTTCCAGAAGCACTTATATTGAATATCTTCCATAATACTTGCTGCTTTTTCTGATTACTTCTTGGAATTTTCTAAAGAATTCCTAGTTTAAAGATTAGAGCGGAGTAGAAACATATTTTTCAAGTGGTATCTGAGGGTGTTGAGATTCTGAGCCTTGAGGCAATCAAGCCATCAGCTTGCCCTGACGATCACTCCAGTGTGGGTGTAAATTGTACCATGTTCTGTGTGTGCCTAGACGTGACCAAGGTTGAGGAACACTGCCACTGGACAGGAGAGAGCCCTGGAAAAGCAGGGGGAGCATGATGCAGCCCTCGCTGGGACACCGGAGTCACTCTCCAGCCAGTGCTCTGGCTCCCTGGGCTTACCTGGTGGAGCTCTCGCTTCATTTTCCTCTGCTGCAGCTGGCCCAGCTGAGAACTCCTCTCAGCCTCTTCAGTAAGGAGCTGCAGCTGCTGTTCTTTTTGCCTCACGTCTTCCAAGAGCTTCTCCATGCTGGATGTTTTCAGGAAATCCAGCTGCTGCCGGTCAGCAGCATCCTGGGTCACTCGGTGTTGTAACTCTTTTAGCAATTGAGCCTGTGGCAAGAGAAGGCCAAAGGAAACAAACAAACAAAAAATGGCTGAGAGCCTTCCATCCTAGCAGAAGGCAGGAGAGGCCAGGCAACATACCGCTTCGAGGCCCAGGGGCAGGACTAGGGATTCTTGGGCTCCAGGGAATCTAGTCTAACTATGCTGTCCAGCAGCAGCGGCAAGCACCAGCACCTAGCCTGGCCTGGCATTTATGCTGGAAGACCCAGGCAACAGTCAGAGGGAAACAGAACACACAAACAAATACGAAGCCAAGCTGTGCAGCAGTACCAGCACACTGCAATACCAGGCCGAACGATCTGGTCCTCTAATACTGAGACTGACGATAGAGTGTATGTGAATCAGCTTATTAACCAAGTAACATATTATCACCAACTACCCCTGCACTGCCACAGAGCCTTCATCATGAGACGGCAGTGGAAGGGTTAACCACCACTGGGGAGATAGGGGCATGCAGTATGTGCGGTAAGGGGGAGGAGGGGGTTCTGATTTTGACTCCTTTTCTAACTTCCAAAGTAGCTTTGAGGAAGCCAGATGCTTAACGGCTTAAGGAAAAGAGTAGTGACAATTTGGTTCTGTTCCAAAGTTTTTTCTGTTAAGTAGCACCGTAAATACTGCATGGCGATCCTTAATTATAATATTAATAATTATTCATATTTGCATGGTGACTTTGCCATTTACCAAGTACTTTACATAAGTAACTTACCTGACATACAATCTTGGAGGAATTAGAGGATATGGTGGACAAATTGCATTTCATATTAAAAATATGCCCAGCTTTCCCAGGCTGCTATTGACTTTCTTTTTTTTTTTTAATTTGCCAGAGGGTACATGTACTTGCTGGAAAGGGACAGAGAAAGAGAGAGAGAGAGAGAGAGAGAGAGAGCAAGTGAGCACCCCCTCCCCCCATGAAGCACGGTCACGCCGCAACCCCTTCTCCTCCATTTCTCCCTCCTTTTGGGATTTTGGACGAGCACATACATGCACTTTCTCCTCCTTTGGGAATATTTTGGGCATGCACGCACATGCATCCCACGTGCTTTTCAGGCTGCCAGGTTCAGGTCTCAAACCCTGTAGTCGGGCAGGTGGGATTCAGCCGCTTTAACCACCATGTCTCTGGCTGGCCCAGGCTATTATTTAAACTTCTCTGTTCTCACTCTAAACCTAGGGTCTCTCCGCTTCGTTCTTGCTCAGACACTTGGTGCAGTTATGAAAAGTTTAGCCTTCAGACCACTTTACTTCGGTGCCAGCTCCTACTGAGTAGCAGGAAGTTCTGAAAGTAAGGCATGGCATGGAGCATTGGGAAAGGACCTGAGACTGTGCTCCGGGGTTGACTCCGAAGGCCAGAGCACACTCTCCGCGCTGCTGTCAATGGAAAGTGTTGCTGGGGGCCAGCCTGTGACCTGGTGGTTAAGGCAGCCGATCCCACATAGCAGAACACATGATTCAAGTTCTGCTCCTAGCAGCTCGAAAAGCACTTTGGGTGGATGTGCTTTCATGCCCAAAATCCTGAAAAGGAGGGAGACATGGTAAAGGGATTGTGGTGTGACTGTCCCCTATGGGGGACGCTTCCCCTGCCAACTATCTGTCTCTTTCTCTCTGTGGTGAGCAAACACAAACTTTAAAAAAGAATTAAAAAAAAAAATGTGCTTAGACCAGGAAAGGCCTGTGCTCAAGGCAGAGAGACCTAGATCCCAAGACATCCTTGGGTAAAAAGATCCTCAGCGTAACACATGTATGTATGTGTGCGTGCACACACATGCACAACAGTGATCTGGCTTGTGGGTAATCATTGATCAACTTAGCCAGGTACGAGTAAGAACAAAAGCCTTACGGCTCCTACCTTCAGTTCCCAGTCTGGCAAGGAGGGAGGCTGAGGCCTGGCCATCTCCTGGCTGTGCCATTTGCTCGGTGCCCCACATGGCGCTCCACACACTGCCATTGGCAACCACAGTGCTGCTTCGGTTGCCACCTGCAGCTTTGTAGGGTATGCTCAGCGAGAGCGGGGGAAGCGGTTCTGAGGTCAGATACCTGCTCTTGCTGCTGCTTCCACATTCTCACGTTGTCAGCCTGAGCCCTGGCCAGGGCCTGCCTGAGAGCCAGTATCTCTTGGCGAAATAAACCCACTTCTTGTTCTGCCGTCAACTTCATGCTCAAACATTCTTTCTTACTTTGAATCAATTCCTGTAAACATCCCAAACACAGCAAGGTAGGATGTGAGTATTCTTCCCATATTTTTGGTTTTCCAAGTAGTACCTAAACCACTTCATCACCCATCCTTGTTCTTGTTTTGTTTTAAGTTTTTGACATAGGATGGGTGCACTTGCCAGAGAGAGAGAGCAAGCTAGTGAGCAGGAAAGTGAAAAATCATCCCCCACGAGCCATGGCCGTGCTGCAGTCCCTGCTCCTCCATTCTCTTTCTGGGATTGTGGGTGTGCACACACATGTGCCCTGCATGATTTTCAAGCTTCTGGGTCCAGAACGTAAACCAGTCAGCCATCTGGGAGTCCAGCACCTTAATCACGACACCGCCTGCTGCCCCCCACCCATCCTTCTTTAAAACTTCCTGTAGAGTGGAACTCCTGCGGGTCACTGTGACTTTAAGAACAGAGTGACAGGGGCCAGACCAGCAGTGGAGCAGTAACACAACACTGGTAGGATCGACCCTGGTTCATGTCTCAGAGCCACCCCTGTGCATAGTGGCTGTGATCCAGGCTGGCTGAGGCTGGGCGGTGTATGTGTGTGTGTGTGTGTGTGTGTGTGTGTGTCTCAGTGTGAGAACCCTGTTGGAGGTGCTTGTCTTTGTCTTTCTCTGTCTCCATCTCTCACGAGAGAAACTTTGTCAAAAAGAGAACAGTGGGGGCAGACCATAGTAAATAAAGACTTTCAGAAATAGTAAGTGAAAGTTTCCAAACGGCTATGTAGATGTGCTTTGGTTTTAACTTGCTCCAAAGTAGATTTTCCTCTTATTATTTCTACTACTTCATCTTCCTCAGTCAAGGACGAAACCAGAAGACAGGCAGTATTTTGAGAAAGCAGCCTCAAGCCTCTCCTCCATCTTTGCACTGTCCCTGTGCTGCGTTCTCTAAGCAGTTCTTCCTCATCATTTGTTTCTGCCTCTTTCCTACTTCTCCCCAGGCTCTGACTTGGCCTGCTCCCCGAAAAATCGCCAACTGCCAGATCCTTCCATTGGTTGGCTTGTCACCTGACACCAGTGCAGCAGCTGCAGTCAGGGAGGCTCAGAGGCCAGCCACCCTGGGGTAGGGCTGAGCTGGGCAGGACCTCCCTCCCCAGTGCTCACCTTTTCTGCCCTGCTCAGCTGGCTCTGCAAGCGCGTCTGCTGCACGGCCAACCTCCAGCGACCCAGGCTCCTTGCTTTGCACACCAAGGCAGCCAGGCTGCAGTTGTCCTGCTCCAAGGCCCGCAACTGCTCCTGCTAAGAAGGCTCACTTTCAGAAAAGGCGGCCCTCCAACACTTCCCTGGGAAGGGCAAGGATCCTAACATCACAAACCCGCCTTCCAGAAGATGACACAATTGCACAGTCCCAGTGCTCTGTAAAATGGCTGATGCAATACTTTCTCAGGGAAGCAGATGGAATGGTAACAGGGTGCATGGCGGGGTCAGACGCGAGCATGAAATGCTGCTATCCCATTGCTAAATGAGATCACGTACTTTGGCTGGGTTTTCTTTCATTCCTTCATCAGGTCTGGCAGAGCCCCATTTTTTCTTCAGGTCCTTTATGTTGTCAGTCCCTTCCGTTTTCACTTCGCTGATGAGCTCACACACTTTCTGGATCAAATTAAGCTGATTCTCGTCCAGCTTCTCCTGCAAATTGCAGACTCAAATCAAGGAAGTACAAAGAGTTTGGGTAACATAAAGGGCAGTTGAGGAGGAGCCATTTTAACTTTATTTATTTATTTATTTATTTGCTATAGGGTGCGTGTGCTTGCTGGTGAGAGACAGAGACAGACAGAGGAAAAGTGAGAAATCACCGCCCATGGGGGATGACCCTGTTGCAATTCATCTTCCTCCATTCTCCTCTCAGAATTTGGGCATGTGGACCTGGCATGATTTTCAAGGTAATATGTCCAGGACTCAAATTGTGGAGTCGGTCATGTAGGATTTAGCCACCTTAACCTTCACTCCATCTGTTGGTCCCATTTTGCCTTTTAAAACATAATATTTGGAGGTGACTTCACATTAAGAAAGCGTCCACCCAGATTTACACAGAAGCCACACTGGTGGCCCTGTGAGCCTTGTTTTCCATTCACCTGGATTCATCATTTAGATCCCACATATCTTAGATCATGCCTTGCCTGGCAACACTGCGGCAAGCTGAACTGGGAGGACGGTGGGAGGCTGCAGGTAGAAAATCCGCTGACCGAATCTCCTTGCTAAGGGCTACTTGGGAAGTTGCATCATGGGTTTTTACTGCCAGGTTGACTCCGAGCAGAATCTGATCAGACAAAACACTGTAGGTAAAGCCAGTAACAAGGAACTCCATTCAATATAAATAAAGTGGAGGAGGGAACCAGGCTGGCTCCAGCAGAAACCTCATTAGGAAACACCCTGCTCTGAATGGTTTATGGATAATGGCTTATGATGAAACAGCTTGACTAATGATAAATACAATGGCAGATCCCACGCTATGGACTAAATTGTGTCTCCCCTAAGTTCATATGTAGAAACTCTATCCCCCAGTATGGTAGTGTCTGAATATAGACTCTCTAGGATGTAATTTAGGCTATAAATGAGGCCACAGGCATAGTTGCAATGGTGATTCAATGGTCCAAGATACTGAAGCCAATGGGACGGTCCTGGGCTCATGATCCGAAGTCACCCTGTGCACATCAGCATGCATGTGCCTATGGTCCTGGCCAGCTGAGGCTGGGAGTGGATTGTGGTGTGTACGCTCTCCTGGCAGTGACCCCACCCTGAGGAAATAAACTTTTAAAAAACAGTCTCTTGAGGATGGGGTTCTTATTCTGATAATACTATTAGCTTATAAGAAGAGGAGAAAGAGGGGCCAGGGGATGCTGGAGCAGTTATGTCGCTGGACTCCCACATGGCCAACTGCAGTTCAAGTCCCAGACCCAGTAGTTTCAGACTAACACGGGCGTGTGTGTGCGTTGTATATGTGTGCGTGCCCAAGACCCTGGGAGGAGAATGGAGGAGAGGCGATTGTGGCATGGTCATCTCCCCTGGGGGATGATTTCCCGCTTTCTGTCTCTCTGTCTCTCTGGTGAGTGCATGTACCCCATAGCAAAAATCTGTCCAAAATAAAAAAAAAAAAAAGACGAGGAGAAACAGACTTTTCTTTATTTTTGTCAAGTGAGGACACAGGAAGAAGGCTGCCATCTGCAAATCAGTAGGAGAACCCCAACCAGAAACAGATCATGTTGGTACCCTGATTTCAGAACTGTGAGAAAATAAATTTCTGTTCCTTAAGCCACCTAATCTATGGTATTTTGTTACAGCATCCTAAGTGTCCTCGGGTGAGAGGTGGGGACAGAGGTATCCTCTCAGCCCTGAACCACTTCCCTGAAGAGGAAGTTAGGCTAGCACCCAGCTGGGAGCCAAGGCAGGGAGCCATGGAATAGAACAGGAGCTCCCTACTTTAGGGGCTGGTGGGACCACTTTAGCCTGGGAGAGGTGGAGACTCTATTTCTTATCTAGGAATCTGGCAGAGGCTAAAGGAACTTGAGAAATACCTCCCCAGTCTCACGCCTGAAAGATAGCTCTGCAAATTCCTGCCTTCACTGTCTGCTCCGTCTCTCCCATGGTACCAGACCAGTACATTATGGTTTTGATCGTCTAATATGTTTTAGCACTTATACTTTGAAGGTAAGGAGAAATCTCCAATCCTCTCTGACCGACCAGGCCAAGGCAGAGCAACTGTGGGAGCTCCCATTAACGTAACAGCTCTACTGATCACTCTGGAACTGCAGGGAGAGACCAGGAGGTGAGGACCACAGTGGGGCCAGCTCAGGGTGCCTCCAATAGCAGGGGCAAGGGTAGTGTTGGGGGAAGCTGTAGGCATAGGGGGCAATTATAATATTAATAATAACATTCATGGGACCAGCAGTTAGCGTAATGACTATGTCGCTGGACTCCTATGTAGTCGACCATGGTTCGAGTCTCAGACCCAGTGGCTTAAACTCACGCCGGGCGTGTGTGCGTGCATGCCCAAAATCCTGAGAGGAGAATGGAGGAGAAGGGATTGCGGCATGGCCATCTCCTCTGGGGGGTGATTTCTCGCTTTCTATCTCTCTGTCTCTCTCTGTCTGTCTGGCGAGCGCACGCACCCTCTAGCAAAAACCTCTCCAAAAAAATAATAATAATAACATTCATATTTGTGTGGTGACTTACAGTTTTCTGTAAGTACTTTACTGTATGTACTTTACTGTGAAAGAGATCTGAAGAGATCTCTTCACAGTGGCTCTAGCAGGGCAGCCTCACCACTCCAGGGCCCCTGGCACACTCTGCCTTGGCTCTCAGATCCACTTTTGTCTCCCCCCCATACCAAGCCATCAGTTCTAGCCTCTACATTTGTACTGAAATTCACACTTGGGGGCAGCTGGACCAAGCTCCCTGATGGCCCACTTTAGGAAGGGGATATCTATCTCACAGCTGCTTGACACCCTAAGAAAGCAACTGGCTCCCACAGTGCTGCAGACACATGGGCACCCCCTTGCTCCTCTGCTGGGACAGGTCTTCGCAGACAGTGCAGCAGCTCCCTGACACTGACAGAAGACAAAGACAGGCAGGCATGCCGAGAGTTGGGCACGTCTTGGAAAGATCATTCCAATTCTGAGTCTTCTCAGTGAGTTTGCAGCAGGTGCCTGCTGCTGCCTGCCCAGGAGTGTGGCCTGGCCCAGGACGCTGCTTCCCCACATGGAGAGATGCACTTAATAGAGAAAGCATTCATAGAAACTCATGGGGATGCAGAGTGGCAGAACTGCACCTACCAACTGTAATCCAATGACAGCTAGCCATAGAGTGAAAAACAAAACAAAACAAAAAAAAACACCAAAAAAACAACAAAAATAGGGGCCAGCAGGTGGTGCGGTGGTTAAGGGCACTGAACTTCCACATACCATGGTTCGGTTCAAGTCCTAGACCTGGTGACTTCCTTTCTCACTTTCCCTCTCTCTGTCTCTCTCTGGTCAAATTAGAAAATAATAAGAAATAAATAAATAAATAAATAAATAAATAAAGTTAAAGCAAAATAAGTAATTCTTTAAAAAAACAAAACAAAACAAAAATAAACCTCAGCGGTATCCACAGTTCAATGTCTGCATGGTAAAATAGTGCCCACCCACTGCTGATTCTCTGCAGGGAATGTTCAGAAGTAGAAAATCCTGGGGCCCAAGAATCTCATTACCACAAAGCCCATTCTGTTGGTCCCTCCATGGGCAGCCGCTGTGAGCATCAGTCACGCCTCTCTCCTCACAGCGCTGCCCAGGCATCTGACACAGGACACTTACTTTTATGTGTAAACAGGTCGCAAACAAAGCTTGAACTAGTTCTTCATATTCTTCTTGTACCTCTTTTCTAATTTGCTTTTTGAGATTTAGATTCTCCTCTTCTAAGTCTGCGAGTCGGGCTTTTAGAGCAGTGACTTCCATGATCATGCCATGACTGAGCTCTGCAACCTAGCGGTGGATAGATTATATGCATATATTTGTTTGTGTGTGCATCTTAATGGAGAACAATTCAGAAAATCCAAATGGCTGCTACAGATTTCTTCCTCGAATCTGCACTTCTGTTTTGAACCTAATAAAGAACCTAATAAAGGGTGAACTCCTCCTGCACAATTGTGGGCAGAAGAACCCAAGGCTGACTTGAAGGTCCCAGAGCAGACACACAATCTGTGCTCCGTAAATGGTTGCTAAATCAGCAACCCTTAAAAAGTCACTTTTTAGTTGGAAAAAGTGCTGTCTTGGCCTTCCCCAAATACCTCTTCTCTTTGGAACGTACTTTAATTGACCTCAAAAGAAAGCAAGTAATTACAACAACCCTCCTCTATCCCCACTAACAACAACAACAAAAAAGACAAAAAAATAATAAAACAAAAACAAATAAATGAAAAACACACAAAATGCCTGCCAAGGAGGACCGCTTACAAAAGTTGAAAGCACACTCCTTGGGGGTTTCTGCAGTGGCCCTTCAAGGCTGGGACTTCTACAGGTGACACAGCAAATGATGCTAAGAAGTCCTACTTCGGGCTAACCCTGAGAGTATGGAGAAGAATGGAGAAGAAAACTTTCTGGTAGCAATTGACCTACCTGACCGGCCTTGTCTTCAGGTGAACTCCGACCTCTCTGTATAGCATCTAATTCCTGATGAGAAAGCAGTGCACAACCAAACTCAGACATTTTCTCTTCTAGCCGAGGC